GTATCGCGTACTTCACGGGGTCATTGGACCCAATCAAACATGACGCGATAGAAAAGACTACGAAGCTTTAAAGCGGGAGTGTCGTCACCTGCGCATGCGCGGGAATTGAGTCCCAAGCGACGGATAACACACGCTAAAAACGCAAAGGCTATGGGTAGACGCTTGTTTTAAACAATGACACGCTATGGCCATCTGACGCATGCGCAGGGGACGACTCCCCCGCTTTAAGGTCATGGAGACTTCAACGTAAACGATTAATTAATACGTCATTAATACTCACGTTTAAGATTTGCAAGCGACGGTTTGGCATGATCTTCTATTTCCTTGGTAATAATATCACATATCTAAATCAACGTAATATTATAATTTTACTGTTAAAATACATTACAACCGCAAGATTAATTACTCCATGAATTGATAATAAAGATAATTTCTTATAAAGTATTTATTATCTCACAAAAGTTACGTTTGTATGAATAAGTCGATATAGGAAAGGGGATCAAAAGAAAATACGGCTGAGTGCACATTACTTTTCCATTCAAACTCTTCTTGAGAGTATTTTCAATAGAGCTGGAGAAGAGGTTGTACAACCAACTGTAACAGAAAACAAACATATTAATATAAACACATGGTGGAGTATCTTGTCGCCAATCAGTGATATCATTGTTCTCTTTATTAATAAGTGTTCGTTCGTTCACATAACACCTACCTTGCCCCACCGTGAAATGTTATACTAATGGAACTTATAGAACCAGAACAATGGGTTGATGTAATAGATGGATGACCAGTACTGTCCTTGCCTGTACAAAAGAGAGAGTTTTTTTTTTTGTAATTACCGGTAATTTAAAACATCTATCTTGGATAAAGAAATTAAAGTGCATTCTTAGTCTACATGCTGCACGCTAAAATTAAACTCACCATATAGACGACAATGTAAACATAGAGATGACGACGACTTCGTGAACCCATTTTATTAAAAATTGAAATAATTGATAGTCTTGTTTTTTTCCAAAGCAAATGGTGGGTAGTATCGTCACAGGAGTTGAAATTTGCAAAA